CTCGCCCACGCGTGCCACTCGCGCCACTCGCGTTACAGCTATGGAACGGTAGCAGGTAAGGCACAGGGAGGAGTGGAGCGAGTGGAGCGATTGGAATCAACTGGTTCACTGGCGCCCCCAGAACAGGGCCCTGAAACATCGTTTTTTCTTGAGATCTTAGGAGCTCTGTGAAGCCGTCAGAATAATTGACCGTGGTTGAACTATGCCCTCCAGTGTATTTATTTCTCTGCATGAACGCAGGCTTGTGGCTAGCACCAAGTCACGCAGGACAAGCTAACCAAGGACAAAGGAACACCATTGTAGGGCCAAGGTAGCCCTGCACCTTTCACCCTGCCCTAAACCATGAACCCTAGTCCCTAGACCCTAAACCCCTGAAGCCTAAGCCCCAGATTCAGTTTGAGGCTCTTGGGGCCTAGCAAGACGTCCAAAGAACCCTAAACCTTACGCCTTAAACCCTAAACCCTAAAGTGTGTTTAGGGTTTTTAGGCTTTTAGGGTTGGCCGAAGAGTGAGGCTTCCGCAGTCCTGCGTGTGGAGCTGGCTATCGCAGAGCTGTGACACACCGGATTCGGAAGCTGAAGGCTCTTGGGTTCAGGGCCAGTTTACTGGTTTAGGGATTAGGGTTTAGGGTTTAGGGTTTAGTAGGGAATGGGGGAATGGTTTATAGGGACTACTATAAGGGACTATCATAGGGTTCCATTCCACCATTCCTACTAAGCACCAGACAGTTTAGGGTTTAGGGTTTAGCAACTCTACATCCTTTTTTGTTTTTCGGTTTAGGGGTTCGTGTTCTGCAAGGGTTCGAAAGTAACCGGCAATAGGCGAAGGCTCCTGCTTCGAAGCGCGGCTAATCATAGGGTTCCGGGGTTGGGGGAGAGTTTGGGGGGGCTACGTCCATCTCTTGTGCTCTTGGATAAACACAGGAAAACCTAGAAGAAATAGCAGGAAGTACAAAAAATATCAAAAAATAGAAAACGCAGCAACGACCATGGGAAACCGATTGAAAACTGCTCGTGTTCGTAGTTTCTCCTGCCTTTGATACGTAAACAGGATAAGTAGGTGAACAATAGGCTGAACAACTTATAGGAGAAACAAAACCTGGCTACAGCTGATAAACGCAGGAGAACCGGCGCCCACCCTAAACCCTATATCCCAAAGTGTTCATAACCATTCCCTGTTATAAGCTCTAAGCCCTATATCCCAAATTTCTCATAACCAGTCCCTATTATAAACCCTAAACCCTAAACCCCTAACTGATCATAACCATTCCCCACCATAAACCCTAAACCCTAAACCCCAAATTAATCATAACAATTCCCTATCATAAACGCTAAACCCTGAACCCCAAATTTATCATAACCCGTCCCTATCATAAACGCTAAACCCTAAAGGATAACCATTTCCTATTGTAAACCCTAAACGCTAAGCCCCAAATTAATCATAACCATTCCCTATTATAATCCCTAGACCCTAAGCCCCAAATAAGTCATCGCCATTGCCTATATAAGCCCTGAACCCTAAACCCACAAAAAGGCCATTCCCTATCACAAAACCCTCAACCCTAAACCCTAAACCCTAAACCCTAAACCCTAAACCCTAAACCCTAAACCCTAAACCTCAACCCCAGGAGGCCCTCCGGGGAAGGTTTACTACGATGCCTGCAATGCGGGGCCCTGGGTCCAATGCCAGACCTGGGCAATGTTTGCAACCGGGCACGGTTTAGGGTTTAGGGTTTAGGGTTTAGGGGTTTAGGGTTTAGGGCTTAGGGTTTAGGGGTTTAGGGTTTAGGGTTTAGGGCCTAAGTTTAGGGTGTCTTCAAACCTTCCGTGAGGCCCTGAGTTCTACGGTTTTTTTCAGGGCTTTTAGGGGTTTTGCACTTAGGGGTTTAGGTGCTTCAGGCTTCAAGTCCTTTCAACCGAGGCATCTCGAGGTTTGGGATTTACTGTAGGGTTTCGTGTTCAGTGCTTTGCGTTTTGGGGTTTAGGGTTTTAGGTGAGGTTGGTTTGGAATCCGTCGCGGCAGTCTCAGAGGATGAAATTCAGTTGACATGTGCAAAGGCCGACCTTGACTCAGCGTCGTTTTTGTTACGGGACAGCTTCATGCTGATTCAACCTTGAACCCTAGACCGTTGCGTTACGTGCCGGGGCAGGCAGGAAGAGTTTTATTGCTTCGATCTCTCACATGGATCTGATGCTTCGAGTTTGGGGTTCAGACTTGTCACATTCACCATTATTCTCCTACCACTACTCCTCAGCATTTTCGTTTACAAGTTCCAAGGTTCAGGGTCAAAGGCCTGAGGTTAAGTGGCCAGGGTCAGCTTAACGACCTAACGGTGTTGTAATGTAGCACATTCGCCGTACCTTGCAAAGTCTGCGGGGACACGTGTGTATGTACGTATGTGTACATGCATACGTATGTATGTATGTATGTATGTATGTATGTATGTATGTATGTATGTAATGTTAGGGTCCCTTTAATAACC